TCTCTCCCTCTCTCCCTCTCTCTCTCTCTCTCTCTCTCTCTCTGTGTGTGTGTGTGTGTATGCGTGAGTGTGTGTGTGTGTGTGTTTCTAATCTTTAACTCAATCTTACACCCTGAAGATTTATAAAAGTGATGTACCTGCATGGTTGGCCAACCTATAATATTCGGTATTCGGCTTTGATTTGACGTCCGATGGCCACCTGTGTGGGAATTCCCCCATAAAATAAAAAACACGGAACCACCATAACTCCAGAAACGAAACGAACTGTCGTTACTGAGCTTTTGTTGTCATCGAACGTGAACGTGATGGCGATGGGTTATTCCGCTGACTGATGGAGAAGGATTGTCAAAATAGAGTGCTCGCTTTTCCCTTTGAGAAGTAAATGAAGGTACTGTCCTATTTTCGTGTGTGGTATTACTGCCATCCCGTTGTTAGTCTTGAATGGTTGTGAAACGACCCTACGTCACTAATTCATCACATGAATGAGTGACATGAGACGAGACACTGCATTGCAGTTGCAGACATGGACGTGATGTATTGTTATTGTTATAGATTTTCTAGATCTAGATCTAGATTTAGGTTTCATTATCATTTAGCCTGTTATTTTATTATGGGGCATGACACGTAGAATTCATGTTGTTGGTTGATATTGAGACGTCGGTAAAGTTTTACTTTTATGCACTCCCACAAGTCACACACAGATGCACTGATTTGAGGGCTAAACTGCCATATTTTTTGCTGTAATTTTAATAGTCTAGTATAATCAGTCCTAATTGCCAAAACATCAAATCATTGTGAAATGCAGGAGGGCATACCCCCCTGAAACCCCCCAGATTCTCCTTAGGTCAGGGGGGGGAGGGGCGGGCCCCCGCCCCCATTATCATCCAGTGCCAGATCTGCGACAGACATCGGCAATCATGGTTTTCCATTCATTTCTTTGTCCGGATGCTCTCAAAAAAGCTATGTTTCCCTGATCTTTCCCTGTTACCCATTTGTTTAGGTTCCCTAAATATGTTGTTCTGGGCCTACAGCAAAAATGATGGCCATTATTCGTGTTCAGCATGCAAAATACTAGATCTAGATCTACTTAGAAAAAAAGTATATATATAACGTGTACATGAGATGGGTGCGCATGCATGAGTTTTTAAAAACTGAGACGTCTGAGTTTCAAGTAAGAATAGAGAGAAAGAGAGAGGATGTCTGTGTGTGTGTGTATGTTTGTTGTATATATCATTTGTGTGTGTATGCACGGAGAGAGAGAGAGAGAGAGCTGTTAAGTATGTGACTTACTAGATTACTTTTTGGGTTTGGGTTTGGGGTTCTAAAGTTCATCACCATATATGGAGTGCCAGATCAGAAACAGACGACAGGTCTGCTTTCATGGCTTGCCACTTATAATTTCTCTGCTCCGATAATATGCTCTCTAAAAAAACTGTATCTAGTCTGGGAGTTGTGTGTTTCATAGTATGTGTGTGTGTTACAGGTGTCGCGTATGTGTGTGTTGTTAATTAATGGTTTGCATTGTGTTTTTCTGCCCTTTGATTAGTCAGGTGAGTGATAATTCTGTATTGAACAGCACCTAGAGTTAGAGCCTTCATAGCTTAGATTCCCATTATTATTTTTTTTTAAATTATTACGTGTGTATATGTTTATTGTTGTTGTTGTAATATTGTCCTGACCTTTCCCAATCTTTATGCAAATGTAAGGGCTGATATTTAAATGTGTATAGATCTAGTCTATAATTCGAGATCAAAGCTTTGTGACTGACACTACTGACAGGCTTACACTACAGTGTAGCGCGTGGAGAAATTGTCAAGATGCGGAAATCTTGTCATGACCATGTGAATGATAAAAAAGGAATGACATGTTATTTATATATATATATTATTATATATAAATAAGAAAAAAATCAGGACTTGAAAGTCTGTTCTCTATGTGTGCGTGTTTCACTATAATGGCATGGTCCATCACTGTGGTGTGTGTTCGCAACCTAGGCTGCCCTAAAACTTTGCAAATCGATCAATTACAGTGCATTTAAAAAAGTCTAGAAACACTTGTTCTGCATACTTCTTGGTTACTCCTCTTTACTCTCGTGCACAGAAGCCTCACATCATGAAATATACAATATGTAAAAATGTAGAGATGTAGGCGTTTCTGATTACGAACAAAACGAAACCTTTTTCTTGTGTTACTTAATGACTTGACTGGATCTTTTCTAGCCCTGGATTTTTAGACATCTACCGCAACAGTTCTGTGAGTTCTTTCTTTATTTTTTGAAGGATCGCTTCGTAAACGACTTTCAGTTTAGTAAGACTTTGCACTCTTCTTTCAAGAACTGAAATATAACAATTGTAGTTTTCTTAATCATTTGTTGTCCTTTCTATCATTCTATCATATATGACCTCAAACCTTCTTATTTTGCATTTGGTTTGCTCAGATTCTCACAAGTTTTTTTGCATTCTCTTCTCGATTCAAAGGTGATAGTGTTCAAAACCACTAAATTTTTATAAATTTCTCATTTTGCAAAATTGTGAATCAGTTTAGAGTTAAATGTTTGGGGTTGGGTAGGGGGGGGGGGGAGTATGTATCTATCTCTCTAATTTTAACACTTCAGTCTTATTTTTAGCTTGAAGGCATTCATTAGAGAGTTGTAAATGCTAGCTTTTACTTTGAGGTTGACAAGGGAGTTTCAAGGGAGAGAGCTAAGAAAGGGTTAGATTTGGTATTTGAAATCTAATATATGAAAAATTTTAATATTCAACTCTTGTAGGTTCAACAGTTGAGATGAAATATAGGCCACAACAGAAGTACATTTAAAAGTGCTTCACTTAATCATAGAAAATAATCATTAGAGATTCTCTCACCCACAAAGTGGGCACTATACTAACTTGTCTATTTCACAAAAATGAGATGAGATTCAAGAGTTTGGCTTCCTTTTTGTTTCTGAAAATAAAACACGGTTTGGTTGTTTGGTTTATTTGTTTGTTTGTTTTTATTTGTCCCCATGATAGCCTCTTGCTGTTTATGACTGCAGAATGACCATAGTTATAGAAATATGTGTGCATGAATGGTATATAGAATATGCGCAATAACATTTTCATATTCCGCACTTATATAATTTTATGTCAAGAGCACTGCTCGAGTCAGAAGATGGAACTGGAAGATTATTATGTCAGGAGGCACTTACTAGAACTATGGCCAAGTTTAAACCAATTGAAGTTGAAAATGATAAAGTGCTCATGCTTCCACTGCCTGACACATAATACGTATATTTTTAAAAATACTTGTCTTTAGTGCGCACATTGGTGCACTCACACGCCTCCTCAACAGGGAACTGCTGCTTTTTTTGTCCTAATCCTTGCTATCGTCATTTTTCGTCTACTTCTTTTGTATGTTTGTCACACTCTTCTGACCCGCTATTTCTGGGGTGCCTTGATAGTCGAAGCAGACTTTGTGCTGTTGAAGCTAGAGAGGTGAGCAGAGTAAGTCTGATTCCCTGTAAGGACTTCTCTGTTGACATCCACCCCTTGGCGCTCATATGACCTTATGCAGTTACGAGCTCCGCAAAACCTCTACTTAAACAAAACTAAAAACACTTTCATTCATCAATTTTGTTGTGTTTTAAAAAAAAGAAAAGAAAAGCAACAAATGTTATATTTTCTTCATGAAAGGAACTACAATTCACGTACTGGAAGCATCACACAGATTTGTATTATCTAAATCGCATTCGGCGTGCAACTTAAACTTCAAATACAAACTTGCCTACTTTATAAAAAATCAAGCCACACACAATGTCGAACTGGCTGCTATTGTGAAAATCAGGATAAAATAGCTATTATTGTTTGTACAAATTTTCAGAATCTGACTTATGTTTGCTCTTCTTGACAACTTTTTGACATCCGATATTTATAATCTTAAATAATGGTATCCCTGTATTTTTCTCCCCAGACGAAAATGAACGTGAGCATTCCTGGGGAGACCATTCCCCAGCTTGTGGAGTTCTGGGCACATGCTCCAGGTTCTGACACTCCAGCCTTTGTGAGCTTTGATGAGAATGGAGAAAAACGAAGCTTGAACAGGAGACAAGTGTTTCATTTTGCAAGGAGGTTTGCCCATAGACTGCGGAGGCTTGGGGCAAGAAAAGGGACTATCATTTGTAATGCTCTACCAAACTCTCTTGAGCGACTTATATGTGATTTTGGAATCGTTTTCTCTGGCGCAGTATCTATGAATGGTCAGATATTCCGTGCAGATGGTGAGGACTTTTTAGACTCTTTACAGACTTCCGAATGCTTTATGGTGATTGTTGGTCCTAGTGCTGCCAACAGAGCAAGAAAATGTCTCCTTAATGAAGTACCTGAAGGTTGTGAAGACTCAGTACAGTCGACCCGACTGCCCCATCTCCAGAAATTGTTGTATTGTGTCCGAGATGATTGTGATCCTACGAAAGATTTCATTTCTTCTCTAGAAGATTCAAGTCTTCCTGAGTTCATGGAAAATGTAGTTCCAAGTGAATTGGCCTCTGTGATGACAACATCAGGCAGTACAGGTTACTCAAAGTTGGTCAAACTAACCCATCAAAACTTATGTCACTTCTGCTTACAAGTAAAAGCCATTGAACATTTAGCGAGCGGAAGCCGTTTCATCAACTGTGCCCCCCTTGGCTGGGCCGGAGGCTACCCTCAGTGGTATCTCTCCTGCGGAGTCACTCGCTATTTTCTAGACATGCATGATGGACCACCTAGGGACCTACCCGCTACAATATGGAAAACGATTGTTGAAGAGAAAGTGGTCTACGGCTTTTTATCACCCATGTATGTGAACGCAATACTGTCAAATACAGCATCCTGGCAAAATGTTTCGTGGAAGCCCAAAACTTTGTGTCTGGCAGGTCAACCTGTGAAGAAGCAGCTGTTGGACATAATTGGAAAATTATGTGAGTCTGTGGACATTAACTATGGTATAACAGAAAACAATCTGGTGTCAACTCACCGAATCACCGATTCTTCTACGTATATTGATGGGTGTGCTGGATACCCTGGCTTTGGTGTGCAGGTTAAAGTTGTTGACAAGCAGAGAAATGTAAGTACTCGATAATATATTAGTATTGGAACCTGTCTCAGAGTATCTTATAAATCATGTTTTCATACCCTATTATTTAGGGTAATTTTCAGTACCAAAAGGTATTTTAAACTGAGTTTTGCTTTTTATGCTATTTATGTGTCTAATGGATAGACAGATTTTACAGTGTTTTTGCTCTTTTCACAACTTTTATACAGTGTATTAACTCTAGTATTTATATAGTCATCTTCATTAGAGCATCCATTTATTTTCAAATTACTGAAATAAACTTTCAGTTAATTCCCAGGGCTTTGTTTTAGTTATAAAGCCAATTTATTGGCTCATAGCAGATGAATTGTCATTATAAATGTAGTGTTGAAAGTTGAAAGGGAAACTTGGTTCTTTTGATCATTTATCCTTTCATTGATGCATATACATGTTGCTTTAGTTTCAGAGTCAATTTTTACTGTTTACATTAATTCTTAAGACAACAACTATATGTTACTCATAATATTCAATGTATTTTTCAAGGAACTTCCGAAAGGAAAAAGTGGTGAGATTCTGGTCTGCAGTCCATCCCTCTGTCAGGGGTACTTGAACAATGATGAGGCCACCAAATCAACCTTTACAGATGACGGCTGGCTGTGCACAGATGATGCTGGTTATGTCGGGGAAGATGGAAAACTCTATGTGAAGGGACGTCAGTCTGACAGCATAATGAGGGGGGCGTACATTCTCTACCCTGGCTGGCTGGAAGTGAAGCTCCGTGAAGTACCAGGGGTCAAGGACGTGGCAGTGGTTGCTGTTCCTGATAAAGTGTTGCACAATGAAATCTGTGCATGCGTACTGACAGATGACGTTATGGGGTCGGTTGTTGGCAGGTTGCATGAAAATAATGCTGCAGATCACAGTGTCGATACCGAAAGACAACAAACATCTGTAATGCCCTCGTCAACAGTTTCGTCTGTTAGTGAAGAGAGTTTCAATGAAGATGTAGATGAGCCTGATAATGCTTCATTTGGTTTTCTGCGTTTGCAAAGCAAAGGCTTAACTGACCATCTTGTGAATACTCAGAATGATAATGACTCTAAGTATGGAGGTGTAAAGGGTCCATCAGTAAGTCGTGCTGGAAAGTCAAAAGAGTTGGAAAGGATACGAACAGAAGGGGTTCATACACAGCTGACAACATCCTATAACAAAACAAAAGCTCTAGAAAAGCCAATAAAAGGGGAGAAAGGGAACCACGGAGATTTGTTGTCACTAGAACAGAGACTCAGAGAGTATGCAGATGGTCTGCAGGTCTTATCAGAAAAAGATGCCATGAGAATGGTGCCTAAGTACTATATCTTTGTAGACAAATTTCCTCTCACCAGTACTGGAAAATTGAGTAGAAAAGAGGTACGCAAAACAGCCACAGCCTTGTTAGACCTCTGCTAAATGTAGATTAAAGTTACTCCTGAGGATCTGAGAAAAAAATGTGTGTCAAGTGATAGTGCTTTCAAATGACTGTGAAATCCTAGCGTGTGTAAGTATGTTATCTGTGTAGTATCTTTTTCTACTTTTTTACTGTTGCCTTTTAAATAGAGATACAAATTGTAAACTGCCAAAAAGTAAGCAAAATTATGATTGTCATAAAGTATTACTGCTCACATTTGTTTGCTCTACTGTGTTTCAGTGACTCATCAATCCATTTAAAGTTGCAAATATTCATGCAACGTAATGTTTGTTCTACCTCAAATCTGCTATCCCACTTAAATTTCATGCTGTTGGTTTTAAATAGCGTATATTTTTTTCTCAAATATCTTAATGTAATCAGACTACAATTTGCTTCTGATGAATATCATATAATGTGTAAAAACCATAGGGCTGCTGAAGGTGATACTGATAATGGATAAGTGGTGTCAGACTTCACTGTACCCCTTGCTTTGAATGAGAGATGTACTACACCAGTACAGTGTATACTTTCTACATGTGTTGTGTCTTTCCAAGGTTCTTTTATGTCGTGATGATCTTCAGATTTATATATTGAGCTCTCCCTGTGTCTCAGATTCAGGATTTAACAGATCTCTTGTATATTTGCCTTTTCTGAGAAAAAATTCATTGCCACATTTACATGATAAAAAAGATGTTATATATTATGATATTTACATACAGAACTTTTTCTTGATGGGAGGCTATGATTATTTTAGAGCTGTGCATGAGTAGTTCCCTCAGTATCACTGACATGTGGCGCAAAAGTGGTGGAGACTTTTCTTTCCTTTTTAAAAAAAATTCTTTTCTTTTCATAAGGTGAAGTTGACTTCATGAGTTTCTGTTGACTTTCAGTTTATGATCAGCAGTCTGTTCCAGCTGCCACATTCTCAGGTTGTTCATCGATATGTCACTTCCAATGTTTGAGCCGAACACAGTTGTTTTACTTTTTGTAATGCCTCATGCATCCACTTTATAGAGTTACAAGATTGTTTAGAATTAATTGTTATCCTCGCAGGGAACTGCAACATTTGTTACATTCTATGTTCAGAGTAGAATGTAACTTAAACTGGCTTGCCACCTTTTTCAGTTATATCTGTAAGAAATAGACTGATCTACTGTCGCTCTCAGATATCTGTTGAGGGTGTGCAAGTACTCAAGTCGACTCAATTGTTCAAGTAATCAGTTACTGCTAGTACTCACTTGAGTAATTCTTAACTACTCGAGTACTCACTCGAACCCAAAATCTCCCTGAGTACTCGAGCTAGTACACAAACGCTTACTTTTCAACTCAGTTGGGGACTTAAAGTAGAAATGGTGTTGCAATTTTAATCAATTTTGGTTGTTACTGTATATTGTAATTCTTTTTCTTCTTTTTTTTGGCACACTATTCAAATCAATAATTCGAAAATGTTGATATATTTGTTATTTTTACGATTGTTAATATTTTATTTTTTGCTATTGTATTTTTATTATTGAATAATCTGTAAATTTTAGTTTAGGCATCAGCAAATGACACATTGAGCTTGTGCTGCTCAGGATTCAAGTACTCAGGTACTTGAAGACTCACTCATGTGTATTTCATCTACTTGGACTTTGACTCAAATCCAAAATACTGGACTCGCACACCCCTAATGTTTTTGTGAGGTGATAGGCTGCTCTTTTTGTTTCTTTAATTTTAGACTGCTTTTTATTGTGTGTGTGGGGGCTGCTATTGAACTACATTCAACTCTGTCGTACCCGCTGAGTACATGAGGGGTATTGTTTGTTTGTTTTTTGGGTGGATTTTGTTTTGTCTATGTGAAATGATAAGACTCCCAGTCTGTTATTTCTCTGATGCCTGCAAAACATGATATACTGACCTATTGTCTCTGTGACATCTGTATAGGATCATTTTGTTACCTCACTCTCGTAAATGTGAGAGTCCTAAGGTTGGCTTATTGTCTTTCGGATACATTTCTATGTAGGTAGCATCATAGACTGATTTATGGTCTCAAAGTGTATGAGATCACGTAAACTGTACCCTTATCTTATTTTTTTCCAACATCCTGTTAGTTTTTAGATTTTTAAGTTATTATTGTGTACTGTGTCTGACATGAGAGAAAGATCTTTAGTCTTGATCATCAAAATCTACTGTAATGCAATTAAAGAATTGCGCATCTCTGTGACATTCCTCCAAGATCAATAACGTATATTAATATTATAATCTTATCTTAACAGTCTCACAGGACTGACCACTTGTCTCTCTGACATCGACTGTTGTTGTATTTTACATGCTGTGCCTTCTGTACAAACATCTTTATTTTGATTGGTTTATACATCATAATAAATTATAATCTTCCTGTACATTGATGACTACTTACTTAACATAATTATATTGGGGGAGTTCTCTTTTGGACAAGTCAGGGACTCAAATAAATTGACAAATTCATTGGCCAAAAGTGATGGGAATGGCTTGTAGCCAGTCAAACAAAGATGAAAATCTCTGAAAATGAAGCAACATGATGCCTTTTAACAAGCAACATTCAAAAGATTATATCTTTCTTTTTTGCCTGCACATCGTTCCCTGTTCCAAGTGGAGGTGGCGAATGGCAAAATGACCACCAGTTGAAGATGAGGGTTTTAGAAATAACTTAAGAGAGAATACCTCCTGCTACCAGAACTGTGTTCCTTTTTGTCTATTATGACTATTTTAACTTATTTTTGTGTCCATGCAAAGCAAAGTTTAAGATCAGGCCAGGTGGTCTAGTGGTTAGGCTACCGAACTAGTAATTGTGAAGTTGCTGGTTTGGGAATTTGAGACCCAGCTTACCTCGACGTTGTGTCATTGGGGACAGGCTATATACACAAATTGTCCTCACTTCACCCAAGTGTGAATGGATACCTGGCCGTAGACAGCAAAAGATGTTGTCATTATGTTAATGGTTTCGCATCTGTAAAATGGCTGTTTGCACTGTATGCTTCTCAGGAAGTTGTGACTGTTTCAGAATGCTTCTGCTGGAGTAATACAAATTGTAAAGCTATAAACTTGTTGTTGAGTGGGATTTTGTACTGTACAAATGCTATTATTATTTTCTTTGTATCGTTCTCTGCCAAGAAGTTTCTTTCATTGTTCAAGTGTTGTGCAACCCAACTGGTATCCTGATTAAATACAACTATTGTTTACTATAATATTATATTTATTAATAAATACTTACATTTTAAGATTACTTATTCATATTCCTAAAAGGAATCAAGGACACTTAAAATTAGAATTTGAAACTCTGGTGTCTTTAGCTATCTTTATAATAAAGCTTCATCTGTTTTTACTTTTTACCAAGGTTGTGAATATGGATATGACACGTCTTGTGATGTTCTATTTATTTTTTAATTTTTGTGATACAATACTCATCATTCCAACTTCTAAAAATTTATGATCAAGTGAACAGCATTCAAATTTTTCTTGTAAGGATATCAATGATCTTTGTTCATCTCCTGATGACATACAAATATCCTCAATTTTTGCTGTTATATATATATAGTTTTCACTGCATTCCCATAGCTCTTGTCCTGAGTTGTACTTCTGTGTTCTTGCACAGTTTTCTTTTACATTTATATCTTTGATTATAGTAGAAAGTATTGGTATTTGTATGAGGTTTACAGAATGTCATTTTGCGATTTGGTCACAAACAGTAATATTGTGGTGGCATGTACCATAAAAAAGTTTGTGACAGATCAAAAAGATAAATACTTTTAGTTTTACAGTGAGAACTGCTTTAGAAGCATAGCACAAATTTATTTTTTTCCTGCTGATTGTCCGTTGTGTAACATTTAAGGGGATTTTTATGAGGAAATCTTTCAGTGTCAGGTTTTTTTTAGGAACGTTGATGAAAATAGCATGAGGTGGGTTTCCATTTAGTCTTTTGAGATCTCTACAGATCAGTTAGGAACATTTGAAAACAGCACAAGTTTAAGTTTACAGTCATCAACGTTTTTTTAGGGGGGTAGGACTATGAAACTTTGCTGTACTGTTAGGTCTTGTTTGTTTGTTGGTTTATTTTTTGGGTTGTTGTTGTTTTTATTTGGGTGGGGGGGGGGCATTTTATTCTTACGTGTTTGTGTTGTTGCTTCGTTTGCCCATACCCAAGGGACATGTCACCACATGATACAATGTAACATTAGTATTAATATGTTTAGTATCATTTTTAGACAGAGAGTAGTTTATAAATCTTTTTTCATGTACCTTCTCCTATCTAGCAAGTATCATTTTTGATTTTAGCTGTGCTGTGCCAAAATAAACGGCTTTGGGGATTTGGTTCATATAATCTTTGTCACTAGTGATTTTTTCTGCAGGAGTAAATTGTTCTGCTGCTTTGATTGGACCTGGCCTGCCAAGTTTCATTCATGCTGGTTGGAGAGGAAAGAGGCGTGGGATGGGATGGAGCGAAAGTATCAGCATGATGAGTTATGGCCGCTTTTTCAACACAAAATTAAATCTCAAAATCCCAGAATGAGTCGAAGTGCACTGTAACATGCTCATGTGAGTTAGATTGCAGTTGCCTATACAAGCAACTTGACAGTTTATGGGGCACTGCAGCCAGTTTGCTGAAAGTATGAAGACTGGCTGTTCAGTCGGACTCCATTTTCTCAGCAAAGTGGATTCAGTTATTTTTATTAGTTTGTGTAAAAAAAATTTCGTAGTTTTCTTAGTTGATTTTATGTTTTTTATGCTTCAGTTCTCTAGAAGACATTTCATTTTGTTAAACATAATTTTGTATCAAGAAACTCATATAACATAATTAATTACTGCAGACGAAATAAAACCAGATTATTTTTATAATATTTCAGTGTACACGACTTTTTTGCTTCATAGTAAATCATAGTGAATCACCCATAGAATTATGGCTTTTACAATGTAATTTGATAAAAATACATTGTAATGTTATTAGGCAGTTAACATCTTTTGAAAATCAAATCTTTTCTCTTGGACCCCGGCGGTATGGTTTGGGAAACCATGCTAACTGTACTCAAATAAAAAGTAGAGTGTCAGCTTATAAATTGAAGTTGTTCCGATCATAATATTATGTGTCACGACATGGTGGAAGCAGGCGCTCATCAATTTTTAAGCATATGAAATTATTGCATGATATCTTTTTAAAGCTTGTTCACATTTCTTGCTTTCAATGAAAAAAATATCCACCCATATCTAATAGAAGTCAAGATATTTGCAGTTGAAGGAGGTAGGAGTTGCCAGATTTTAGCGGTAAAATCACCGAGAAAATTGAGGCCAAAGTTTGGTGAATTCTATTGCTTGAGAGTCCTTGGAAACTGAAAATGTACGTTTTTTTGCCTTTTATCGTTTTTCAGTAAAAATCCACACAGAAATGTGTTTTTAAATGGAAATAAAAGCTGCCGAGCCTTAAAAGAACAAAAAATCCACAAAAATTGCCAAACCAGCAGGAAAATTCCGATTCCTTCGATATCCTTATTTTGAAAAGTGCCCGATTTCTCCACGATGCCTCACATATAAATTTCATCTGAAACATGACTTTCCCAGTCAGGAATAGGCCTCCATGGGACAAAGTACATTGAGACATGTTCGTGTAAACGGAGATTGCTCAGGTTGTTCCTGCCACAACAGACACAGAAAACACTACTTGACGATTTTTAAACTCTTTTAATTTCCATTGTCTCTCCCATCTTGAGTCCACTCAGCGGCAAACCATTTACAAGTACAAGCAGCTCAATTGTCTTAAGCCCACAAAACAAATTTTTCTAAAGAAAAAAAAAGACAGTACCAGTATAATTTTTCTAAAAAAACA